AACTGAGTCATAGCTGGAATCGCTTCTTCTCTAGGTGACACTGCAACATCTAAAGAGCAAGAAAACACTGAATTTTCCACCAAACACATGGATGTCAAAGAATCGTGATGATAGAGATTTTCTCTGTGAACTGCCAGTAGTGGAAGCTGGAAAACCTATCTATCCAAGTATGTGTGTACTTCAGTTGCACAATTACGTACATATCGGTTACATGGTTTTCAGTATTAATGTAATCTGAATTATATTCCATCTGCTGTATATTCATAAATGTGGTCTTAGGGATATTAAAAACAGATAGTTAGACTGATTTCTGGAGAATATATTCCAGCAAATTAATTGCAAATCAAATTTGCTGGCATTCTTTCCATTAAGCTAGAGTGGTGAGTAAAATGAATTGTGATCATACATGTATTTTCTTCTTTTGATTATTTTCGGAAGTTGTTTTATACCATGTTTATGTCTACACTGGTGACATGGAGCAAGCTGACACAGATTCTGCAGTTTATCTGTGTATCTATGGAAAAAGAGGAGATTCTGGTCTGAGACTTCTGCATAAATCTGGTATACCAGTGACATTTCAGAGAGGAATGGTAAGTATGAAAAACAATTTGATTAGCCATATAAACTAAGTAACTTTTACTGGTCTTAACAGGTTCCTAATAAAAAAGATCACAGAGATTTAGAAAAGTAATTTTTAAGAACTAAGGAAAAGAATTTTATACTAATCCAGCAATAACTAGAATGAGTGAAAACACAGGTAGGAAAAGGGGAAGAAAAATAATATGAACCCCCTTAGGATGATGAGAAGAGCTGCCTGTGAATATAAAACATATTCTGCCAAGGTTTAATGAGTACAGCTGATTCCAAAGGACTGCACAGAAATTGTTCCATGATTTCAGATCTTAGTAGGACTGTCCATTATGTATTTCTTTTAATGTCTAATAGTATAATATTGTGATTAATGCATGGCAGATTTAAATTCATTTTTCTTTCAATTACCTCTGATCTCCTCCACAAGTAAAATATACATCATCCTGATTTTCTGCAGTAGTGTATGGTCGAATTTCAGGAACTACTGAATTTAATCTTTGGTCTGTCACTAGCCTTCTTATGTCCTTCTATTAAGCCTGTTTCTTCCTTTGTGAGCTATTGAGAATTAGCACTTGTATGTCTAACAAACAGTGTCAAGCTATTAGTGGAATACTTAATTACAAAATAAAAAGCAGTATCTAAAAGGCTAAGCATAAAAATAACCCACTGGGAAACTTCAAAGGTATCTATACTATTTTAAAAATACATATTTTATACCATTACTAATGTATTAGTTATAATGTTCTATTCCAACTGAAATTCAGAATTTAAGTGGCGTTTTCTGGGGGAATTATTCTAGCCAGACTGACAGTAAATTCAGTGTATTATTTATACAGGGGCTATGGGGGGTGGCTCAAAGCGTACTTTGTTATGGAAATGGGTGAAGGAGACAGTGGATTGTACAGAGTGGCAAGGCAGGGCCTGGGACATAGCATTTTGTGGCAGGGGCAGTTGAGTGCTGACTTGAACAAGTTCATTTAACCCCTGCCACAGATATGCTACATGATATTGGGCAAATCACTTAAAGCTTCCCTGAGTGACCATTTTTTGTGTGCTTCTGTCTTGCTGCCTAACCAGTTTAGCTTTTCTGAGCAACCACAGCTGTAACTGAGGTTTGTTCAAAGAGAATTCTGCTCTGGACAAAGAAAGCTCTTTGAAATGCTAAATATGCCAATAAATTAACCCCTCTCTTTCTCAGTTGAGCACCTGAACTGCTTTGCATCTTGACAGTTTCTGGCAATAATCTCTGTACTTTAACTAAATAGGTAAAATGAAATATTATGCAGATGGCCTTTCAAAAAACACATTTCAGTGTTTCCAGAAAACTGGGGTAGTATGGAAAAAGTGCAAAAGTGAAGTCACTGGGGAAATCAGTTCTGCTTCACCGAACTGTTTCGGTGGTTGCGGTAAATAATGCATAGAGTCTTCAAGATAATGAAGATAAAAAGAAGTATTAAAAAGCTGCAGCCCTGCCTGTGCACAATTTGAGGCAGGGATCCTTCAGAGTGAATAGCTTCTGATCATATATTACATATACACAAGGGAGAACTAAAGTTGCACAGGCAGTCTCAGTTCTGCCATTTGCTAAGGACTGAGAACTTTACAGATATGAATTTTCCCATGTAGTTCTTTCCTTCATTCTCCTTTTACTGAGAAGTGTGACTTGGACTGTTACATTTGGGGAGAGAAAGCTATATGCTCTTTACTGTGAGAGAAAATCACCAACCTGAACCTTTCACCTGATCAGCTTCATGCTCTTATGAAAACAAACTTTGCCAGCTCAAGCCTAGATGAATAACAACGGGAAAGTGGCATGTCAGATTTCAGTCTCTTCCAGCAGAATAAAGTGTAGAGGAGGTGAGAGCAAAAAGAGAAAACAATGAGAAAGTCTGTATTTTAAATAAATATCAACAAAGGAAATAATAGCTTTAACTCATTCTTACCTAGAGAAGAATAATTGCAAATAGCGAGGTATTGAAACAATAGCGAAGGGTTGTGTGCAGCGTTTTGGATGATGGCCGAAAACCCAATTTATTTGGTATTATTACTGCAGTCTGGTTTTAGTTGTGTTTTCTCATTTACTCTGATAAAAGGCATTTAACTTTTCAGATCCAAACACTTTGAATACAGTCCAGCTGTCATTAAAACCAGCGGGAATCTTTGTACATTGTGAGAGTTAATCAGGCTTTTAAAATACTTCAACTTTCAAGCGGACTTAGTGGTGGCAAATTGCAGAGTGATGTCTCCTCCGTCTTCTAGGTCAATGCTTTTGAAGTGGAAGCTGTGTCTCTTGGAAAACTGCAGAAGGTGCTGTTGCGCTGTGAGGCTAATGCCAAGTCCCAGTACTGGTACTGTGATAAAATCATTGTCAGAGAAGCTGAGAACAACTTGGAATATGTTTTCAGTTGTGAAAGGTAATTTTTACAACAATTTTCTTAAATATTCTTAAATACGTATCAGTAGCAGTATCATGCCAATCAATGTACTAAATATGAATTTTCCAAGGAAAGGCAAATTTAGATTATTTTGCAGTTTCATACAGTCCACAAAAATGCGTTGTAGCAGAACAGATTGCTTGAGTTAATATGCTGTATGGTCCATAGCAAAGGTTAAATGCTTATATTGTGGCTGTGTTACCAGATTGTACAGTGTAGCCTTATCATACAAGGATCAGTGTTATAAGCATGACTTACCTATTCAGGAAGGAAAGATAAAGCACAGAAAAAGGTTCTAAATTAAGTGTATTTCTAAATGGGAAAGAAAACAGATTTGCCATCCAGAAGTAGCATTCACTCTCTTATAAGCAGTATTGCTAGAGAGACAAATGGGATGCCCAAAAATCGGAATTATTTTGTGGTTGTTCCATTTAAGTTATTAAACAAGAATCTTAAAAGTCAATTGATAAACACTGCGTTTTGCATATTTGGAAAAATATTATGGTAATCCCACATTTGGGGTTTGCAGTTTTGCAGTCTATTGTGCGGGTATGTGCATCATTCGAGTGAAATGAAGGAAGTGTAGAGAAACAATGTGACCATATAACAAGGCACTAGAATTAATAGTATTTATTTAATTGATAGTATTTAATTGATAGTATTTAATAAATGCAGGATGCCTAGTTATTTTGTCTGGGTCTTTTTGAATTTGTTACATAAACTTGAACAGCTTCTTGCAACTCTTGGTGTCACGTCCTCAAAAACAGGAATAAAGATTCTCTCTCACTTTGATAAAAGTCTCCAAAACTGAGGTCTTTCTTCAATCAGTAACATGTTTTTAAATAGTAGTATAAGACTGAGGATTTCTCTGGAGTAGACTTGGATGCAGACCAGCTGTTGTTGCTAGCTGTGGTTGCTACCTTTCTAAAATAATATAGGTAAAATTTCCTAATGGAAGTTCTACAGAGAAATCAGGCCAGCTGCCTACCTCAGTCATGAAAAATCAGCTCTCTGTCATAGCTGTCCTCCAGTAACACGGCTTAGGGATGGTGCATGCCAGGGCAACACAGCTTAGGAACGATGCATGTTGGGGCACATTGCTGTATTAATTCTGTGATAATTAACACCAGATGTTGATCAGCAAAAATTGTTCAGTGACAGACACTGTCAAGAAGAAAGAGAGAGAAGTGGGGTGTTTTTTCATTCCTAACTTTTCTACAAAGAAACACTGCCACTGAAAAAGGGTTAAAATAGGTCAGCGGTGGGGGTCAGGGGTAGCTTCCATGTTGGTCAAAATGTAGAGCTGAAACACTGAGCTCTATTCAAGGAGGGGGGAAGTTTTTGCTCTTCAGAAATCTCTCTATCTTTATTAATCTTCAGCCTCACAGCTTTATTTACATTAATAGTTTATGATCCAGGATATGAATGAAATGCTGTATTTTTTTCTCATTTAGCCAAGGAAACATCAGCATTTTATCTGACTTAAACTGATACTAGTTTCTGAACATTCAACAGCTCTCACTGGATTTCATTTATACGGTATTTGTTAGTTACAGACTGATACTTTTTATCATTTAGGATTGCAGAAGATACTTGTGTGGCCAGGTTTTAGCAGAAGTGATATAAATAAATAGCTGTCTATTAAGACAAAATTGATTTCTTAGGGACTCGTTCTTATATGAATTGGCCTGCTAATGTTTTCAAGACAAAAACCAAGGAACCCTCAAAAGCCACTCTGGAATCATCCTGCCCAGCTTATACTGGATTCCCAACAGGCTTCACAGGGGATTGAATGGTTTAGGTCATTCCTGGAGAGTCCATGGAAGTGGACTGAGTAAATAAAAACCAACAGCTCAGAAGCTCGGTGATTTTTTTTTTCCTGTAGAAGACCAGCTGATTTTTTACCAAGCAGTAGGAAACTAGAAGAGTTGGTAATCCATGTGCTGAATGAAAAGGTTTCAAAATTATCCGTAGCCTAGAGTAACATGACTAAGAACCCTAACCAATGTTTACCTTAATTTGTACTTTTTCAGACTCATCAGTCTGTCCTCAGTTCATACGAGGAATAAGGAAGAGCAGTATTTGGTTCCATCTTTGTTTTTAACACTGAACTTTGATTTTAAGAAATAGTGCAATAGATACATACAAATTATAATAAGCACTCAACCTATAGTACTGAAAAAAATGTTTTGTGCCATATTTTTCTGTTTAGCTATACAAATAAGTACAGTCATGCCACATGAGTCTTTTAACCTGACACAGGTATATTTTACACTTACACAGCCCTTACATTTGCACAGATAAAATCCTTTGTTGGGTCAAATCATTTCTACGTTAACATCTATCAAATCAAATACTAAAATTTTAGAGGTAGACACCCTTTGCTGTTATATGTATTCAGTATGAAAATAAGATGTGGATCATTCAGTTATATGGTAATATAGTGGAGAAAAAAAGGATTCCTACCTGCTTTCTTATTTTCTTTCTTATTCTTAGGTGGCTTCCATTTATGTCCCAAGGCATAATTCATTCAGAAATTGAGCTGTACCCTCAAGGTAATGTTTATTGTAACTTCATGGAAGTAAGATCAGTAATTTGTAATTTTTTCCTCTGAAGAAATCTTGGCTGAATTTACACTTTAAATATCAGAGTTAACCATTTTGCAGCTTCCTTTCTTATATTTCTGAGAGAATACACTTTGTGTTTGCATTGTATAATAAGTATAGGTGATAGTGAGAAAGTAATGAGGGAATGAATGAGAAGGAACATTTTCTTGTATTGGCTAGAATCACAGAGTGTCTTTTTCATCTCTTCTTTCAAACCTTTTCTTTAATGTTAAAGGATAGATCCTTTATTAACTGTTGGTTTGGTTTTGGTTTTTTTTTTCAGAATTTCAAATACATCAACAGCTGAAAATGCAAGAAGAAACAAATGGTAAATGCTGCTCTAGTCTTCTGTCTTTAATGAAGACTGTTTCTGTTTCAGAACTAATTGCTTTACACATTTGTTGCCATTTGTATTTGTTTTAAAACATTAATTACAGCACACTCTTTGAACATTTTAATAAACTCTGAACTTCACATTTTAATTTAAACAATAAATCACTTTGTTTATGCTTTCTTTTTATTCTGTCATTTTTCTTTCCATAACGTTAATTTTCTCTCTGTTAGTTTGAAAACTCATATTTTTTTAGTACTTATTGGTGATCTATCTTAATTTATATTTTTTATAGTTAACATTTTAAACCATGATTCTTTCTCCTGGGCTATATATAGTTTTGTTCTCACCATTAGTTTTTAATTTTCTGTTTTACCTGTGATTTCATATTTGTTCAGCTTGACTTTTCTGTCCTTGCAAACAGCACAGATTAAATTACATTTCTTAATAACACATAACATTTTCTCAGCTGTGAGAAGGGCTTCATGCTGTATGTTGAACAATAATTTAGGAGCTGTTGGGAGAAATTTTGAAAATGTTTATTCATAATTGATTATATCAATCAAGATATCCACAAAGACCCAAATACTTTGTCTTAAATAGTGTCCCTATGGCAAGTAGTTAATGATAAAATTTGTACCCAGATATTTTAGAAATTATATTCCAATCCGGCTCTATTATAAGTTTTATTTTATATCACAAGTGTCTTTGCCCTTCTTCCTTTCTATGCCTTTTTCAGAAGGCATTCATTTTCTATCTGTTCAGCGCTCTTTGTGCCTTAGCTCTTCTGCACGCCTCGCTTCCGCAAGGTCTGCACCTAGAGATCCTCCTTCACATAGTTCAAATCAGTCTGCTTAGTCCTTTCTGCACTACAGCTGGATCTCTACGCTGTGTCACTTAAGCTGTGTTTGTCTAGTTATACAGTAAAATTTGCAGCAGATAAAAACTGCCCCATAAGCCTAACAAAAGGTGGCAAAGAACAGGAGTAAACTAAGTCTGTGTCCAATTGGTTTATCTTCAGTGGAGATGGGCTTGGTCTTGCAGTGAACATTTTGTTCACTGCACTCTCGTCCTGACCCTGTGAGACAGATGTCTTTGTGCTGTCTAGAAGAGCTGGTCAGCTTTGTCAGAAAGACCTGTTTCACAGAAATGCAAGGTGGGTTTGTTGCAAATGTCTCAATCGGAGTTAGGCAGAGTTAGGTAGCCAAAAGCATACGCACCAAATAGCCTCATTTGGGGCACTTGCTGAAACACAGAACAGTGGGAAAGAGACTTGAAGCTGTGTATCCCACACCTACAGGGACTGCTCCAATTCCTGGTTGAGTGGTTGATCTGAGATTTTGTTCACTTACTTTTTTCCCGTGAGCTTTTATAAATATCTAAGTTTTATTCTGTATCACATTTTTTTAGTAAAATAAAATTCTTTTTCTGGGAAGTAGAACTTCTTAGTGTATTATATTGTTTCTAATATTCTAGAAAAGGAAAAAAAAAGACAATTTCTAGGAAGTCATCTGTGGTATGGTACCACTTTCTGATGTCCCCAGGGATGTACTTGGTGTCAGTTTGTGCCTGTTCTCCATGTATGCTAAATGAAAGTCACCTCATTACACATTTTTCTGTATTCTTTTTTCCTCAGTGTGTATTCCTCTTCAGTCATTAAGGAACTATTGGTATTCTACTTCATCAGAACAAACACCTGCTTTTTATGCCAAAGAGAATGAGAATTATGTGTTTGTAATACTTACTGTTTCCAGTTTCTATTTGGAAGCATGAAGGAATGCAATGAGGATTTCTGGCGTCAAAGAGATTAGAAATTTTAGGATTCTTCTCCTATACCTACATTGTCCTTCAAGCATAAAGTCCTGTCTCTTTCCAGAGAAAGAAAAAACCTCAAAGTCAATATAAAGGAATGCAAACCAAACGTCTTTTTGTCATGTTTTTGGGGAAGTTTGATTCCTTTTTTTACCTTGAGAGTTGTACTTGTGTGCAAAATAGTTTACTGATACTACACTTATCCTTTGGAGGCTGGAGCTGAGGTAGCTAGAATATACAGTTTCAAGAGTACCAACTGCATTGCTTAACAAAAGAGAGACTTGGAGAGGATAATAGAATAGAAAAGGCCATCAAAACCACTTGAGGTACAATAAATCAGACAATGAACAAGTCCAAAAGAAAATACATTTTTCCTGCTTTAAAATGAATATTTGTTTCTCAGTTACTTGAATTTTTAGGAGGAGTAGTGGGTCATATTTTACCCTTTGTCTGCACCATTCTTCATAAGCACTTGTAAATTGAATTGTCCTTATTTTCCAACCAAATGGTCACAAGGAACTTTAAGGAATTAATATTACATTGTCTGAAAACAGAAGAGGCTGACTTTTTTTGGTAAATGAGCTCTTCTATGGGGCAGGGAGCCCTTGCCTTATGCTCTTTGTTTCCACCTTCAGTGTATAGAGGCTTTTCACCCTTCTAATTGATGTTCATCCTTCTGTAGCCTAGTGCTATGGTTCTTTTGTAAAGAAAGTGGGTCTATAGAGAAAACCACGAGGATGCAAATTTTCAAAGGCACAAAAGAGTTTGTTACAAGCTGGAGGCTGACAATTTTTAGTGGAAACTGGATGGTTCACTTCCTTTATAGAATCATAGAATGGTTTGGGATAGAGCGGATCTTTAAAGATCATCTAGTCCACCCCGCCTCTGCCATGGACAGGGACATCTTTCACTAAATCAGGTTGCTCAAAGCCCCATCCAACCTAACCTTGAACACTTCCAGTGACGGAGCATCCACAGTTCTCTGGGCAACATGTTCTGGTGTCTTACCACCCTTATCGTAAAAAATTTCTTCCTTATGTCCTATCTAAATCTACCCTCTTTCAGTTTAAAACCATTCCCCCTTGTTCTTTCACTACAGACCTTGGTAAAAAGCCTTTGCTCTCTTATAAGCCTCCCTTGCATATATTGAAAGGCTGCAGTAAGGTCTCCCTGGAACCTTCTCTTCTCCAGGCTGAACAACAACCTTTCTTCACAGGAGAGGTATTCCAGCCCTCTGATCATTTTCATGTCCCTCCTCTGGACCCACTCAAACAGGTCCATGTCTTTCTTGTGATGGGGTCCCCAGAGCTGGATGCAGTACTTCAGGTGGGATCTCACCAGAATGGAGTACCGGGGGAGAATCACCTCCCTCAACCCTCGGCCAGGTTTGATTGATCAGACCAAATGAGCTGTTGCTGTTTTCTGAATTCCCAGCTGTGTATTTATATGTACTTAAAAATCTACCACCCTCCAAAACCAGGTATCAGCCAGACCTCAAAAATTTGGAAAGCAGGAGATCAAACTTCCCGCTCTGGTTCATTCTTTGTGGGGCAAATTACTGAGGGATAATGGGGCTGGCCCAACTTAAATACTTCTGTCAGATAATAGATTTAATTCATGCAGATCAATTAAACTGCAGCGTACACTCTGGCATTTATTTATAAGATGACTGTGGGCTGGTATTTCATTTGTTGTTTGCCTTGCGCAGAATGAATTTAAGTCACTAAGTGGAACTTGTTTCATACAGGCAAAAGCTGCAATCAAAAGAGGGGTAGAGAGCATGTGATCCCAGCTTTTCCAACGTAGAAATGTATTTTCCAATTATGAATTGTTCTTTTTTAAAATAAGATTTATATTAAGCTGCTTTCAGATGTTTAAATAACTTGTGTACATTGTATGGGAGCAAAGATGACATTTTAGTATCAGGGAAGCTTTATATAAAATGATTTTCTAAAGAGTCCTCATCTAGTGTCAGAATTTTCTCTAAAATCCTTTTTTTTTTCATGCTAATCTCATTGTCATGCCTCCATCCAGGCAAAGAGACCTCTTGTTGATGTGTCACATCAACATAAAATGAGCGGATATTGTACTTAATTGGGATACTTTGATACTTTTTCCTGTTGCATTTCTTGATTATATGTGTTGTCATAATCCAAATTCTGGAAGTTGGGTTTTTTCCGTGATGGCCCACGGGGTTATTGCTAGAAATCTCACTAGGCTCTGTGTTCATATTTCCAGCTTTAGTACGCTGCAAACCTCCTAAATCTTTAAAGTTACATAACTTGCCTAAGATGAGTTTGAATGATGCAGAATTTAGCGAATCTTCTGTTGCCTCTCCCAGTATCATTACCTTTTAGGTGCACAGTAGTTACAGTCCCTGGGATAAACTATGATTTTATTTATATCTTTCAAGTAACTTGCTGCATATCAGTAACAGTTATAAAAGCATTTTAATTTTATTTTTTACTTTACAGAAGGAGACTGGAAGATTACTGTAGTCACTGGGGATTTTGCAACAGCTGGCACAACAGCAACAGTATCCCTTTACGCTTATGGAGAAAACAAAGCTTCTGGCCCTATTATTTTGGGATCTGGGAAACACCAGCTGTTTAATCCCAACAGTGAAGATACATTTAAGGTATAGTAATGGCTGTTATATAAACACTGGAGAATCCAAAACATATGCCAAATAGCTTTTCTCAAAAGTGCGTAATAGCGGTAATAAAAAGGACTCAAAGCAGTGTGTAAGGCTCATTAAAGTATTTCTGAGGGAGTGGCTGACTTTTATGAGGTAAGATTGGAATCAGCAAATGTAGTCAGAACTACATCAAGCAGACATGCCTCTCAGAATCTGCTTCATACCTGCATCTGCTTGATGTGCTGGTTGATGTTGTTCATTTGCAGAGGTAGAAAAGACTTTCTTTGCCTGTTGTTTGCGTTGATGTAATAAGGTAGTCCTGGCTATGGCTTGTGTTGCATATCCATCTTTGGCAGCATCCACTGTCAATTCTTCCATGGGCTTCCTCAGGCTTCCACTGAAGCACACTGCCATGCAAACCTTTGGTTGGAGGAAGAAAGAAGGAAAGGGAGGGTGGCAAGGGACTAAAGTCAGATCACACCAAGCAGGTTAGCTCAGGCGATTTAGACTAGTGATGTCCTACTTCTTCAAGCAAATGGGGAGATTTCTCTTCTTTAGAGAAGCGTCTGAGAGGTGCTTCAGAAGCATGACATTTCCCAGGGCTTCTCCAAGTTCCTGTAATTCCTACAATTTCCTCCAGTTCCTATAGTTCCTCGGGACTGTGCCTGTTGCAATCATTAAATCTGCAATATGTCATTTAGGTTGAAATAATTTATTCATAATAAATAGATGATGGGGAATCAGTGACACATAGGACAGGAACTTTCTCTGATTTTTTTCCAGTTTGAAATGTAAATATGTAAGTTCTTGCAGAGGCAAGTCAATGGTGGTTTTTCCCATACATTTATTTAAGCTGAAAGTAACTTGGCTAAAGTTTGCAGATAATGCTGGTTTAAGGTTATCTCATATCAAAACAGGAAGGTGAAATAAATGTTTACCTGAGGACTAAATTTAAGTGTTCCTTTTCAAATCGTTCTGGCTAGATGATCATCTTGGATATTTATTCAGCTGGTTAATGCTGTCTGACAGCAAGTTCTTACTCATTTATTCAGTTCATCAAGGGAAGTACCAAGAACATTTGTTTGTTTTCATCTTTGGAAGGAACAGTATGTTTCTCAAAGCATCATTTTTATCCTCCCTGCATCAAAGCAAGACCTGATACCTGGTCCAGGAGCTCTGATGATCTGTTGCTATTCACACTAGCACCCAGGTTTAGGTCTTCTACACTGTACCTAGGTCTTTGTACCTGATGATTTGCTTTGGTGATATACCACTGAAAGCCTGGAAGAGGCCTGGAGGATAGGCTCAGCACTTTGGTGCAGTTTAAGTACGATGAATTTGGCCTGAGGAGTGCAACTTAAACCTTTTACAAAGTCTAATTGTGTAATCAAACCCTTACATTTGTGTGTAATGAGACCTTTAAACTGCAGAGTTTTTTGAGGAGGCTTCTCCCTGAATTCTAACCACACCATCAAAGCTTCAAGGTTGACCAGATTACTGTCCATCTATTATTTCTCAAAACCACTTACTTAACTTTCAGTCAGTGCTGATCAATGGGGAGAGAAAGAAAAGAACAGATAAAGTAATTTTGCTTCCTTTTCCCACATTTTTTCCCTTAAATATCTCAATTTAGTAAGGCAGCTGAATTTTTTGTTAATCCAAAAGAACGCTGCATTCTCCAAATATTTCAGCACTTTGTAACTCTGCAGTTTTCCAACATTAAGAGCACCATGTAATAACACCAATATTGCTAAAAACTGTGGAGTTGCAGAAAAATTGGATAGTGCCTATTGCTTTCTATTACACTAGTTTAACCTGTTAAGTACATTGGGGAAAATCTTGGCTAAATGGTCCTTTGTGTAGAAATGTGCTGCATATTTGAAGGCTATTTAAACTCCAGGTAACCCCCCCTTTTTTTAAGAAAGTGTTAACTGATGCAGGGAGCTGCAAGAGTTCAGCATAATATAATGGAAAAAATAAAGCACAGTCTTGTCCCACAAAACCAATCAAAGTATCATCTCATTTAAAAATCCCTTTGGTCACAGATAATATCATAAGAAATGACAGAAAAATGGCCCACGAAAAGAGAATGAGACAAAACTGAACTGGGTTATCAGAATAAAAATCAAGAATAGTAGACTGATACAAAGTACAGTTAACTGCATAGTAACTTGGATACCTAAAAGTAAATAATGAATATTCAGTAAAGTTAAAAATAAAGAGAAAATAAAGTTGTTAAAACTTGAGTAAATCACATAGTGCTCCTCTATATACTCTTGAGATTTTGTTGCTCATCTAGAACTTGATTTTGATGTTGCTTGCATTGCTGTATACAGCCAGTGTAACTTCATTAACTTTGGCTATCTCTGATTAAGGTTTGTGTAAATTAGATTTAAAAACTGGTCGACCTCCAGTGTAACACAGGTAGAATGTAACAAGGCTATTGCCCTTGGAGATTTCCTTGTGATGGTAACACATGAAATTCAGTGAAGGTAATTTGCAGTTGTTGTGTGATGGGGAGAGTTCTTGTTTCTGGCTGGAGTCTTGGGTTCTAGGTTCTTACAAGATAGTTGTGTGTAAACTGCATTATATGTGCCCTTGTGGCTTAGCAATTTTTCCTACCAGATGGGAAAGTCAGGGATGAACAATATGGGAATGGGAAAGAAAAGGATTTTAAATTTGATGGATTTCCCTTTCTGCTCTGTAATTGCTCCTGTGTGTTCAAAGAAACTACTTCTAGGCTATGGTTTTTTGCTTCTGTTACTATTCAGGCATAGTTTTTAGGGCATAATTTTTCTGTTGAGAGTCATTCCTCCTCCAACAGAGGGATATCAATCTACCATAAGTTACAGCTTTCATCACAGCTGTGATCTGTTTCCTGCATTTTCCTCTAGTGTCATCACAGTCCCTGAGTATTTCTCAGTATTTAAAAAATACTGATTTTGGCAGTATGTTGAGTTGCTCAAGACACTGACTCTTTAATTATATTGTAAATTATATTCTTCAGAGCCCCGTATTCTGCATCATCATTCTTTGAAACATGGCAAATTATGTCTTATGCGTGTACACACTGTTTGATAAAGAAATTCTTTTTATAAGTATTCTTTTAATGTTTGGTCATGCCAAATATTCCCTTTTGTGTCAAAGAGAACTAAACAGAAGACTGTAGGCCTATTATCTTCCGTAAGAGCCAGCTACAATCTCTCCGTTTTTATTACTTCAATGCAGAATAATTCCCTACCTTCGGTACAAGTTCTGCTATTCTAGTAATAATGAAGTCAGTAAAGGCACTGACTGGTTCCATGGATCTACTTTCAAAATATTGTATGCTAGCCTTAGTGAGAGTGGCAGGACCTAGCACCTCCTTAACAAGAACTCTTCCAAGCTTTGCTTTGTGAGTTTGATTCATTATCAGCTCTGTAATCTCTTTAGGACAGTGTTGGCCTTACTGATCTCAACACATTGTCAAGTTTATCTTAAATAACACTATATTAAACTATTAAGAATGCTGGATTTTTTTCTAAGAAATCTTCAAAATCTTCACTTTAACCTAATGTTATATTTTGTAGTTGGTGGCTGTCTTTGTAAGGAAGGTAGTTGTTCCATGTTTGCAAGCATGGGACATGGAGTATGCGTGATATTTTAGGAGAATTGGAAACTGGAATCCTTCCCCTGTGTGAATTTTGCTGTATGAGCCCATTTCTCTAACTTGTAAAGCTGGTGCCATATCCAGTTACACTATTTAAAGTTTCTTCATCTGTATAAACAGTCTTTTAAACACTGCCGTACTCTATCAGGGCAAAATGCCAGAAAGTAATATAAGCGGATGAAAAGCAGGGCTCCTACTAATACTTGCAGAGACACTTGATCATAAACTTAATAAACAGTGTTCCTGTGATGAGACTGTTACAGTGTTAAAACCAGCCTTTTTCTTTCCAGTTGCATGTACCATGCTTGTAAAGAATTGTGTTCATCAGGTGTGCCTTATGCTGTATTGCATCACATGGAGGCGTTATACTTAGAAGTTTATCTGGTGTTTTTCGTTTGGGTTTCCTCTTGTTTAAATAAAATTATCAGTCATTTTAAATAATCTATACATTAATAACTGACACTGCTTCCTTTAGAATCAGCCTAACGGACTGTAAGAATCTGTCATGTTTCACTGCATGTCTTTCATTCCTGCATCCTGGATCTATATTCATTTTTTTCATAAGTCAAAACTGAGATGTCTAAAGTAAAATGAGAAGCAGTGGGGAGAAAACCAGATGTTATAAAAATAGGTTGAAACAAATCCATTTTCATGCTTTTTCTCCCATTGTTAAAAAAAAAAAGAGCCTGTAATAAGCTCAGTGAGAATTCTCCCCAAGAGGGAAGATTGCAAAAGTGACCGCAAGCACTAATGTAGCTATCCACCTAAAAGCTGGGCATAGCTCGTGTCCTGCTATTTTCCAGCTCTCCCTGTTTGCCATAGTGGCCATTTAGGTCCAGAAACAGTTGGATAAAACTTAGAGAAACCCGGGCTTTATTCAGATAAGATTAAGGCAGCATAAAACAGTCATATTGCTGGCTTTAACTCCACTTGAAACTGTCCATCTCTCTACAAAATGTGTGTGATAACGACATGAACCTCATTCCTTACTGAGATAAAAAGGAGACGTATGTAAAACAATCTCCATCATCTACAGGCTGTGCATGAAGCAAAAATTTAGCTTGTTCCAAGAAACCAACATAGAAGGATAGTAGAGACCTCACAAACAATCTTGGAGAAAAACGCAACTCATCTCATCTTCAAGAAATGAGAGTGAGTCAACATGGTGCTACTCGTTCACTGATTCTGCAGTATGGAGTACTCCAGTATGGAGTGTATATATATGTATATACATGTTTCCTTTTCAAGGTAGTTTCTTGAGAGAACTTTATGTACTCAATTTCAGATTTAATCTTTCAGCCATATATCTATCAAACTTCTTTTTTTTCTACTTGAAGGCAACACAAGTCCA